TTTCCCAAGCAGATAGATGCATGGTAGGAGTGACTAGATTAATCACAATAAAATGTTTAACATGACAAGTGAGCCCATTTTCCTCACAAAGGTTTTCAATTAATAGGGGTTACCTTTTCCTCAGCTGTACTTTTCAGAAAACAAAGGAAAGCCTCTGTAAAATGAACCCCGCATGCCCCATTCCGCAGCTCAGCTACACAAGGGCATTCTAATGCTTTCTGTGCCTGCGCATCAAGAGACTGGCACAAAAAGAAAGAAACCCATTTTATTTACAACTGTTAGGTGACCCAAGAAAAAAGGGAAAAAGTTTATAATATTAAAAGGTCAACCAACCTGATTCTCGTCGTTGCCATATGCCGCAGCTTCTATAAAGCAAAAGATAATGTTATTATGAACTACTCCAATGAAAAAGTCTTTCATTTTCTAAAATTGCAAGGGCAAAATACGAAGAATTTAAACTAAGCTAAGATCTTCGGAACTGAGGTTTTTATTAGCTCTTCTTTCAGACATTTTCACGAACAATTGAAACGCAAGATCGGTCTGGTCACGCAATTAAAATGGATCAACGGCAATTAATATTAGTAACATAAATATAAATTACAAAACCTGCAATAATAGAATCCATGGAAGTGAGGGAAGAGGGGTGTTGGGTGCGAGTCTTATCGTTAATTGCAGCTACCGCCGCTACTTCGCTTTGAACTTGATCCATCTCCGCGTTAGCACTTCCTGCGCTTGATCCGTCTCCGCTTTATTTTTATCTTTGCTTTGACTTTGACTTTTTTATGACATTTTTTTTAGTGTATAACTATAAGAAAGTAAGTTATAGTATTAATCATAACATAAGTTATAAAATATTTATAGAGCAAAAATTTTGGTGTTTTTCAATCACTTGATATTAAAAGCATTATAACTCCTTTTATAAAAAAATTTATAACTTAAATAGATTAGATAATTTATGTATTCGTATTATATTTATTTTATATAAATATAAAATTATTATATCATAATTTATATTATCAAATATAAAATATATATTTTTAAAAATTTATATTTTTTATTAAAATTTAAATTATATTTATTTTTTATTTTAATTTTATGTTATATTTAAAATTATCATGTATACACTTGAAAGAATGTTTTTTTTTTAATGTCTATTTAATTGCCAAACAACTTTTTTTTTTTGTACCAATTGAACTAGATTGTATGTAGCTATGAAGAATGATGAATTAATTTATTCATAAAATAAAATAAATTCTCTTTTATATAATTGAATTTTTAACTTTTAATATAATATAACTTAGTTTGCTAATATCCATTCTTACAATTAATTTTTTAATGTTCAGATAAACGGGACTCACCTATTTGTTGCGCAACATTTTGCACTTTGATTGACTTTTTTTTTTTGCTTTTTATTTTTTAACATTTTTTTTCTTTTTTTTGGTTTTTAAGTAATAATTATATTAGAATTATAGAAATATATATTTGTAAAAATTGTATTTTTATGTATAAGACCATTTATACCAAACTTTTTTTTTTTGCCTTTTTATTTTTACCCTTTTCAATTTTTTATTTTTTAAATAAAAAAGTAATTAAAATTTTTATATTTTTTTAGAACACACTTGAAATGATATGTATTTATAGTCTCGTTTCCTGTTATCATCGCGTATCTTTTTTTTGGTTTTATTTATTTATTTATTTTCTTTACTTTTTTTAAAAATTATTTAATAAATACTTTTAAAATTTATAAAATTATTACTATATATTTTTAAATATTTTTAATATTTGAAACACGCTTATATCAATTTTTTTAAACTTTTTTATTTAAAATTTTTAAAAATATTTAATAAAATTTTTTTAGATTTAATTTTTTTGTAAGAGTAACTTGATATTAATTGTATGTTACGTGTTTATTTTTTTTTTTTTATCATAATTAATCAAAATTATTATAATATATTTCTTATCATAATTACGAAAACATCTCATATATTATATTTGGTTAAAATTACTATAATATCTTTTGATCATAATTACAAAAAAATATATTTTTAATTACTTTATGTATCTCTTACCATAGTTACAAAAATATCTCTTATATTATAATTAGTTGAAATTATTATACTATTCTCTAAATATAATTACAAAAATATTTTTTCAAAATGTTTTACTAAAATTATATATAAAATATATATGTATGTGTTATATTAATAAATTTATTATTTGATATCTTAATTTAAAAATAAATATTTTAAATTTAATGAGGATGTGTGCATGATACCCTTTGTGAGCTCTTTTTATTATTTTTGTTGTTTTTCTTTATTTTTTTATTTTTTTTGTTTTTATCTTTTTTATTAGATCAATTTTGTGAGAAAAATAAAGTTAATTGAAGTATCCATATGTCACACTTATTTAATTATTTATTTATTTTTTACTTTTCATTGTTTTTAAATTAAATAAATTTTGTAAAAGACGATGAATACGGATAACAAAAATTTTTTTTTTGATCTGCAACAAAGCATCGATATCCATTTAGTATAGATAAAATTGCCATCATGATAAAATTTCTTATTGACAACAAAGTAAATTCTATGATAAATTTTAACATTAGAATCAATTTAAAAGACTATCAGTATTATATAGTATAACACTTTTTAATATATATGTGAAAATTTTGTATATATAAAGAAAAAATTTTTTTTTTATTTATTATTATTTAATTTTTATTAAAAATTAACACTTGGATGTCACAAATATATATGTTTTAATATGATTTTGAATGATAATATGATAATACGAGTTATAAAAACAAAAATATTGTATTATAAAATTTTAAATTGATATTACAACATTTTAAAAGTAAAAATATTATATTATAAAATTTGTTAAATTACAAGTACATTATAGGTTTTTTAACTTTTGTAATTTAAAAAAAACTATTGTTTTAAATGAAAAAAAAAAAAAAAAAATAAGGGACGGAACTGCAAATGAGGAAAAATTAAAATAACTAACTGCCAGGAGAGGAAGCAGGCAGCCAAACGAAGTGAAGAGCTCTGAAAAGGAGCGAAGTAGCCAACAAAAGGAAACAGAAAAGAAGATGGGTATTCGTCTATCAATCTTTTCATTTTTTCTTGTTTGAAGTCTTGAAATACCCAATTTAATAATCAGGTGGAGTTTCCCAATTGACGTGAAATCAGAAAGAAAAATAAAAATGGAGGGAGTGTGGGAGAATTTCATGAGAAACAATCAGAATACGTTGAAATCCCTTTTTCAGCGCAAGAAATTATCATCCAATGATGAAGAATCCCTAGAAAGCTGTCCGAGACCCATCCCTCAGCTCTCTTCTCTCGCCAATTCGGTCGTCTTTCGCTGCTCCAAGTACTCTCTCTCTATCTCTCTCACTAGACATTGTTTGTTTCTGTTGAAATCTCATATTTTTTACTCGTAGTCAGATCAAAATTTTAGTAAGGGTTTCATAATCGATTAAATACTGACTAAAATGTAATTCCAATTTCTAACTTTATCAATGCATTTTGTTCTTCAATAACAATTAGTACAATTTTTAATTTTCAATATCCAAGGGCGTTTTTTACTGACTGTTTCCGGATTCTTAAAATTCCTACTGAAGAATTACAGCATCGTTTCGATGTAGAGCTTCCAGAAAGTGTTAAACAGCTTTTCACATATGCTAGGAACTTCTTAGAGTTTTGTTTACCAAGCATTGCATAAAGTGAGTAGAAATCGAGATTATCTGAGTGATCCAGAGTTCCGTCGACTAACATATGAGATGATGCTTGCATGGGAGGCCCCCTGTGTTGAGTGTGAACGAGGAATCAAAGTAAGATATGCATTGGAGTTGTTTGCCAGACGTGTCCTTGCCAGTATTTTGATTAAAAACTTTGATTATGAGGGTTTTTGGGGGGGTTCGAGATTTGGGGTGAGGGTTGACGATGGTCTCTGAACTTCTTTTCTATTGCAGGAACCTTCACCCATCAAAGAGGAAATAGAGGCTGAGGAAGGCGGGTCACTGTTTTATTCAAGTCCTATGAATATGGCAGTTCAGGTTTGTTCTACTATTTTTGCTTGTTTAATAAATTTCATTTGCATAACGATGTTATGGGCTGGTACTGCCTGGCAATATATTATTGGCATTCTTCCAGGGATTGATAATTCTTCAGCCATTTAGTTACCTTGGGGTTAGTGTAAGTGACCACTAATAAGTGATATGCAGTGATGGAGCAAGCGGCCAATTATGCTACAATTTTCTAAAAACAAAAAAAATGATGCTATAGCTTCATTTCTATATTATCTATTTATTTTCTAATTTTTGCATTTAATGTGTTTATCATATTAAATGTTGTTATAATGCCTTTGATATGTAAAATATTTGAAATAATTTTGTAAAAAAAAATTTAAGAAAGTAGGAAAAAAAAAAAGAAAAATTAAAGGTAAGAATTTATATGTAAAGAAACCCAAAAGTAGGGGAATAAAATTGAAGGCAACCATTTAAGCATAAGACAAAGGAAAAAGACCTATAAAAATGAAGATATATAAGTGAAGAAGAACATATTAAATTCAGTAAAATTTCAAAACGAACATATAGGATTTATATAGAATTGGGGAAATTTAAAAAGTATAGAATTTATAAGAACAAGGGGGGCCAAGTAATAATATTAGAAAAGGCTTATGAAATTTGTAGGCTTATGAAATAAGTTTTAAGGGAGCCCGGCCTGGGGGGCTGATGATATTTGAAATTCATTCTTTACTTTTCTATTAGGTTGATGACAAGAAAACTGTTGGATGAGAGGCTTTTGCTCGAATAGCTCCTGTCTGTACTGCTGTTGCAGATATCATAACGGTTCATAATCTTTTTAATGTATTAACAAGCTCTGCAGGCAACCGACTTCATTTTCTTGTATATGACAAATACCTCCGAAGCCTTGACAAGTACAAATGCATTATTGTTCTCTAGTAATTTTGTGCACTCTAATGTTTTCTGTTATTTAACTGTTTTAACTGTTGTGCCAAGTCACTTGAAGTAAACAAAAGGGGGAATGATGAAGATAAGACTTACAAGACCATGTCTTTTAATTCTACTACATCTTTTACCGTCTGTTTGAGGTCATTATTTTCAAAAACCAATTTGGGTTTATGTCAGGACATTCCGAATAGAGGTATTTCACCTATTGAGGCTTTTGTTGGAGGATTTTCAGATGAAAAGAAAGATGTGCATATGATATTTATCAATTTGGAGAAAGCATATGATAGAATTCCCTGAGAGATGCTTTGGTGGGTCTTAATGAAGAAAAGAGTTCTTTGAAAGTACATTAACATAGTTAGAAATATGTATGAAGGAATTGTAACGAATGTGAGGACACTTGAGGGTATGACTAATAGCTTCCCCATTACCTGAAGATTTCATCAAGACTCAGCATTAAGTCCATTTCTTTTTGCATTAGTTATGGATGAGCTCATTGAGACATATTCAAGATAAGGTGCAATGGTGTATATTATTTGCCAATATTATAATCGTAGTTGCTAAAACTAGTGATGATCTTAATCCAAATTTAGAATTATGGAGGCATACTTTGGATTCTTGAGGTTTTAAATTGAGTAGATCTAAAACTAAATATATAGAATATAAGTTTTGTAATCATAGAGAAACGAGTGTTAGTGTGATTAAGTTGGATGGTGAGGTAGTACTAAAGAGTAGTCATTCTTGATATTTGGGATCAATTATTCAAAGTAATACTGAGATGGAAAGAGATGTGAATCATAGGATTCAAGCAGAATGGTGAGGTAACGAAGTGCGTCAGGTGTGTTGTGTGATTGCAACATGCCTTTAAAGTTAAAGGGAAAATTGTATAAAATAACTGTAAGTCTTGTGTTGTTATATGGAACTGAGTGTTGAG